GGGGGGGGGGGAGTCAAAATAAAAGTTAAGCTCATCTCGAATTTTTACAGGAGTGTGTGAGATGGTGTGCAGTTCTGTCAGACTGTGGTCTGTCGGCTGAAGAGGTCGAGGGTCACGGCGGAGAGGAACGCTGGGATGCTCTTCTGGTGATGCAGATGAAGAGCCACCATCTCTCCCAGAGTTTTGGAGAACTCTGTTTCCATAAGCTGCATGCTTCCGTTGGAGCCCTGAACCAAAACACAACACACAATAACAAGCAATCAGACCCACTGCATTTGTTTCCACACACACAAAAAAACTTTCAAAGTGAAGCAAGCTCACTTAAAAGTTGTTGTTCTCTACTAGGAATTAGTGTGTGTGCGTGTGCGTGCATTCACAGCAGGGTGAAGGTGTCTAAATCTGTGTGGATTAATTAAAAGGAATGAGGAGCAGCTCGGGGCGATGAAGTGAAGGAGAAAGGGATGAGTGAAACAAGGGATGAAGTAATTAAAGCATCGCAGGGAGGGGGAAAGCAGTGAGCAGCAGAGTCCCATGACATACAGAGAAGATATTGAGACATCTTAGAAATGCCCCGTGTCAATGTGTGTCAGACACACAAATCTCTGATTTGACAAGTGTCACGAGAAGGCTCATAAAACGAAGGGCAAAGGGAAAATACCGAAGAATGGCATTTAATCAGAAACGTAAGTCTAGAAGTCGAGAAAAGAATAAATCAAAGGGTATTAACAGAAGATTTAATCCCGCGCTAAATCATTTCCAACAGGAGCACTTTTATTGAAGGAGGAACTCTGCAAATGTCCTCTCACTGTGTGACACCTGGAGTTAAAAACACATTAGGAAAAAAACTGATAATTAATGATTTGACAAACGGATCCTGTTTGAGCATCATTATTTCTAAGACTGAACAAAACAGCTGGAAATTGCAAGGTAGTGCATGACTATGTTGTAAAAAGTATTATTTGATAAACTAATTAGTGTGCTTCCTCTCACACAACAACCTGAAGTGAACTGTTCATTTCTGTGTGAAGACTCACAAATCTCTACTGGCTGAGAGGAGTGGATACCTGAACTAATGGCATTTGCTAGCTGACTGCACAATGCCTAAGTGAGGCTAAACGCAGTATGGAGCGTGCTCAGGAAGCGCAGATATACTGACCTGCTGTTTCAATGTCATTCTTTGGAAATATGAATGAAAAGTTTATAGTCAGAGCCGCAAAGTCTGTTAGGCTACGTTCACACTGCAGGTCTTAAATGCTCAATTCAGATTCAGACCAAACAGTATTGTTTGACTAATGTCCCTTAATATAAAGACTTTACGATTCCCAATTTTGCTTTAAGTTATTTTGTTATTTACATAATAATGTAGATAACAAAATAATTATCCTTATTGCTGTTTAAGAGAGGAGCGGTGCTTCAAAGGATAGTTGCAGATTTCTGACAGAATCTGCAGATTATACAGTACAAATAAAATGTTCACGTTTCTCCAACGTTGTCTTCCCAACAGTTTCACTGACATCTACACGGGATGGCCAGGAAGCGTTCACGATGTCTTCTCAGACGCTGATAATTGGCGTCTGTCTTGTGTCAGTGACATAAAAGACGGATTTAATGCGACATGACCGTTCAAACAGCAGTCGCTTTCTAAAACATCGGACATGTATCGGATTCAGTACCACATACGAAAGTGACCCAGATCGGATTTGAAAATATCGGATTTGTGCCGTTCACACTGTCATACCATGATCGGATATGGGTCGCATAGGGTCAAAAAAATCGGATTTGATGCGCTTTCGCCTGCAGTGTGAACGTAGCCTTAGAGACGTTCTGCTTCAAAAGACAAGCTAAACTAAATCACGTCATAGGTGTGTTTCTGTTTTTTCAAAGACACTTGTAAGATATAAGTAATAAGTAGGGGTGGGTTTTTATAATCGATTTATCAATTAAAATCGATTCTGGCTTGGATAACGTAAAATCGATTCATTAAAATCCTGAATCGATTTTTTAATATAAATTTATTTTGCCCAAAATGCCAGAATCTCTGGTGAAATCTCACAAAATTTCAACAACCACCAAACAGCTAAGACAGTAAATGAGAGCAGGAACACGGATTCTGCACAAAGACTTAAACACAGCGCAACCCGTGGATCAGAATCAGTTAGATGTCGCCTTTCTCACGGGCGGGGCTGAAAGCCAACAGCTCGCTGATTCTGATTTGTCGGCGGGTCTGCGCTTTGTGTTCCCTTTATGTGCCGATTCTAAAGCTGTTAGTTTGATGTCTCTCCAAACAATATTGACCGAACCAGCAGTAAAAGAAGATCCAAACTACGCTTCACATAAACATCGTCATGTATTCACTCTGACTTTTACTGTTTTGCTTCGACCACGATGCACAGCTCTCTCTCTCTGTACTGTTTTCTGCATTATTCGCTTGCTTGTTATGCACAAGTCTACCGTTGTTTACAGCGCTGTTGGCCGATGTTTTTTTTTTCCGCTTTATATACTTCCGAAATAAAACCTAATTTCTGCCGTTCAATACTGAACAAATTTAAACTTTTTAAAATTATGCAAAATGCAAAACGCTTAGCCATGTCTCTAATAAAACCGCTGTAACTTCAGAGGTAACGTTCATGTGTTGATTAATGGTTTTCTTTCGTTTTTGATGTACTGCAGAATATTTTTATAAAAT